CGCTGGTGGTGATTGAGCTCTTTTGCCCCAGTAGCCTACAGTTTCTCCTAACGGCGCCAGCCCCGCTTAGTCAGTTACGAGGGAGGCTCAATTAGACACCGGCGCTAAAATCCTTCTCGGACCAAACATCTCCTTAGTCTTGAGACCCGTAACAATCGTTATACCTATTCACCACCCAATAATACGAGGTTTCCTCGGTTCTGAAGCTGGCCATTCATGTTTCACTTCCATATGCTGTAAATTGTCAGTATGCTTTGGACGTTTCAAATGCGCTCGCCAAGTCTTCGGCATCCATTTGCTTGGTCGGGACAGCCACGACGCCCACTGCCCAGTGACACTGATGGCCCCTAAACCAAGCCCGATCTGCACAAGTGTCAAGCTGGATACGAGTTCAAGCATGGGGAAAAGATTATTAAATCCAACTTAGCCTCGCGACGGCGTTGATTTTATCAGCTCTTGCAACCGCCCCCTTTGGGTTGCACCCATTCTCCTCGCAACTCTCAAGCTTTTTCCCACTTCATTTCTACCCAACTTTTCGATGTGAATGGGCATTGCAGATGAACGGTCTTCAAGATACTATTCCGCACGACTCTCTGCGGATTTTTATTGAGGGTCTCTTCTTGTTGAAGAATGCGGTTCTCAATTAGATCATGCCTTGCCCCATTGCTACTCGCTGCAGGATGCCATGCGGAGGCGGCTCTTGCACCGCGGTCGGCGGGGGACCTCTGTGTTTTTACAGAGGGGAGAAGTAAGCCGGATACGCGCATTTCCTCCCTCAACCTGATGTAGTCATGCTAACTGGTGCCAAAGCGGTCCTTCTGGGTAACTTAGTATTTATGATGGCTGGGAAGGTAACGATTCAAGATGGACATAATGAAGCATTTGGTATTTTGAGATCTTGTCTGCAACCTGTCGAGTTTAGCTCGTTGCTAATGGAATATGGTAAAAGTGAACCAACTTTATTGGCTCGACCTCAACACTACGTTTAACGTCGAAGGCGGTATCTCTCCACATACTCTGCATAGGACCGATATTCCAAATTCCGCGCCTCATGAAGTTTCCGGAGGTGCATTTTTCGCCGCGCGAAATTCCATATACATATATGCTGGCTTGTCGAGTTCGAGCAGATATGATTGGATGTGGTCGTACAATGCAAAAGATCGAACATGGAGTCGCGCAGTAGTTGCTGGCGGCAAATTAAATCTGGAAACCCGGTTCGCTGGGCTTTCTGCTGTTGCGCCGGAATCCAACCTCTCTTTCTATACGGGAGGATGGGACCTCCCCATTACGGGCACTTTGGTCTTCAACGCGACGGATAGCGCCAACCTTCAATGGACTAACGTGACTAAGGTGGATAGGGAGGACGCCGTCGGAGAACCTCGGATAGCCAATGGGGGAATGGATTATGTACGGCTAGGAAAGAAAGGGATGCTGGTTGCGTTCGGTGGTTATGATGTATGTGCCATTTGTTCTGCCGCGCAGCGGGTCTTGTATGTGCTATGCCTAACACTATTGAAAGACTTCGAAAAAAGGAACGAACGAAACCAAAACAAGCCGAGATTTCAGGGAGATGGATAAGATCGGTGTGTATGATATCGACTCTAGTACCTGGTATGTTTGGTCGGATTTAAATACTCAGAGATATTAGAATCAGGGATTCAGAAGCTGACTGGGTCAATAGGTACGAAATTGAAGCTACTGGAGACATCCCGAGCGCGAGAACCGCATTTTGCACAGCTGTCTCTTCCGCTCCAGACGACTCCTCGTTCCAGGTGCATATGTATGGTGGTCGCAGCCGTACCTGGGAGAATGCAACCTCATATAATGACCTATATGTCCTGACCCTCCCATCTTTTCGTTGGATACGTGCCCCTACGACTGGCCTAGAACCATGGAAGGCAGATGGGGTTGGTCGCGACAGCCATAAATGTGTCAGTTGGAAAGACGGGGAAATGGTAGTGATTGGGGGTACAACTCGGAAAGACGACAAACAGCAAAAGGGATGCAGTCGAAATTACCCACCTATCCGGGTGCTTGATACCAGCACATTTCAATGGCAAAAGCAATTCGATCGCGACACTAAATACACTGTGCCTCAGATCGTCTCCGATGTAATTGGCGGGGAGTATGTTTCTTCTTTCTTCCTCACTTATTATATACCTCAATAGTTTGTTTCCAGACTAATTTTCTTTACCAAACACAGTGGAACCGGAAAAGCTACACTGAAGGAACCGGAGGGCGGATGGCCTAATAGCGAAGTCGCGAGCATATTTTCTCAAACTATAGCCAGGCGGCCGGAGATCACAGATGAACCGCTACCAGCAGAGCCGACCGGAACTCCGCAACCGACAGCTCCCCCTTCAACCGAAGAAAAGTCCTCCAATACAGGCGCGATTGCCGGCGGAGTCGTTGGCGGCGTCGGAGGAGTCGCCGTCATCGCTGCCGCTATTTTCTTCCTTCGACGAAACAAGCGAAATAAGACCCCGACCGATCGATTCAACGCCTCTCCAGCCGTTCCCACAGCTCCCTCCGTCTATTATCCTGAACCACCCCCATCCCAGCCAGCTCTTACTGACAAAAAGGATGACCCATACATGCGCATCGAACAAGAACCTAGAGAGCTACCAGCGCAGGCTCCGGTACCTTCCCGATATGAGCTTGACTCACCAGCCGAAGGACATCCCGCCCAAGTATTTGAGCTTGATTCGCCTGGATCCTATCCGGCTCCTCCCCATCCACGTAAAGAATAACCCGATTATACACTAGTGTTGTCTTTTTTGTGTACATATTTTTTCTTCCAGGCATTAATCCTGGACAACCGTTTTCTCCCCTTCTCTTATGTCCTTAAATCCCGACTATCCCATATTTCTTTCGCGATGTTATTTCTCATCGTTTACCAGACGATCTTCATCCTGCAGGATAGCCAGCATTCTCATGATCATTTAAAGCCAGATCAAGGATACCATTTTGTGATACATTCTTAGCCCCACCATCGCACCCCTAACATTCCACTTCCTAGGCGTTCATAGGCGAAGGATGACTTGAAGTACAACACTGAAATTTATTCTTGATCCTTCAATCCTTTTCTCTTTTTTGTCTTCAAAAGCTCCCTCCCTCAGTACCGGCTACATTTTTCCTTTACGTCATTCCCACATATACCTAACACATCAACGGGTATCCTAGGAAGGAGGAGAACCGGGAATACGCAAACTTTTAGTACCTAGCAGTATGTTTATATGCATTCCTCAATCGTAGGTGGTGTGCACATTCTTCGTAGAATTACATAATTTACACGGGTTATATAGACCCCCCCCAAGGGCCATGAATATAAAATGGTTTGCCTTGCGTTACATCCTACGTACTACCCTAACCACGCTTTTACGAACAAAGATGCGGAGGAGTTTCCTCCACCCCAGCGCGGGGGAGAGTTTACAAGGGCTAAATAATCGGGGCAGCGGTCAATGCCAAGAGAGAACGCTAAACAACTCTTGGGGCGATTATGGTGAGCTTAGCTCTCTTAGCCCACACTATCAAACAGGCATGTCTGCCATGTTGAACCGCAGAAAGTAGAGTTATGCGGCGAAGAAAGGAGGGGGAATATTTGAATATTCAACATGCCTCTTTCCATAATTTTATAACTAACTTCTGAGAGCGGGCATATACTTAGCTCGTCCTGGTACCGTACCGCGCATGGACATGCACCGGTGGACATACATTCCGTAGCCGCGTTGGTTGCTAACTGATGCTGTGAATTCAACCTCCCTCGTCTCACCAATGTACGGAGTACTACATATACATGTACATGTACGAACGGTTGTTGGCTGACGAAACACAGTCAAAAAGGAAAATAAAAAAATAAAAAAATGCACTTGCTAACCAGTGGGTAGTTGCTCTAATTGAAGTAATCCGGCCTTCAGCTCCCGGCGGATAACCACGTTTATCAAACTTCTTGTAAACTTCTAGTCAGCATCGTAAGTACGCTACACTATTACACCCTTTCACCGCGCTACACGTTACCCGCTATGTATGTATAGTATGACGGGCAGGAGACGGGCATTTCAACTGCAAGCAATGCCATGCCCTACTTTTATTTACGCCACCGGCAAATTTGTCAGAGCATCCTTGCTCATCTCTGTCTATTCCATCCCGGTGCAATGAATCAGGCGTCTTCCAAGATATTTTCTCGCAAGGTGTCCTGCGGCTGTTGTAGCTGTGTTTCAACATTGGGTCAACGTCGTACGTATATTGTCTATTATTATTCCTCTTTCTCATGGCAAAACTTGAGCTGCTGAAGCACTGTGTTACACAGATGATGAGTGGAGTTGAACGAGCAGGAAACCCGTTCTTCCGCATAAGAAATCTGCCCAGTATTATTTCCTACTAGCACACCCGGAAATCGGTAATGGGGGGTGTGCAGCAGAACATGGTAGGGCAGTTAATCCGGGCTTTTACCTGCATTAGCAGCTTGGTGTGACGAGATGGAAGAGACACTACAGCGTATGCAAAACGGCAGGATGCGGAATTCGAGCCAAGGAAAGACCAGAAAAGATCGATAGACAGACATGGCTAAAATATGGTATAAGATTGCACAGGAATACCCCCATCATGCCCTCTTTAGGGCCAAGAGATTGGCCTGAAATTTTCTGCTTGCTTTCCATGAACTGTCTACCAGGATCGTTGAACCCTGTATGTGGAGCTGTTTACATGGCCGGAGGCATATAAAAGGAAGAGAACCCCAGTTGAATCGTCCTTGTATCGGAGCTAAGGAATTCAAAACTGTGATCTCCATCCCCTGAGGGTGTCATCACGGTGTTGCATATACTCACGGGATATAGGCAAGTGAAAGGGAAATTTTGCTATATAAGCAGGGTTTCCTGCTTCCCCCCCTTCCCTTCTGTTGTTGGCCATGATAACTAATGTGTCGCTGTTGTTGACGGGCGCAGATATATATCTTTTTCTTCGTTGCGAGGAACCGCATCTCGTGCAGCCCAAATTTCAAAATGAGAGTTGTTGACCGACCATATTTGCCAAAACCGGCTACTCCTGTCAGTATTGCCTTAACTGAGCACAGTCCGTTCGCTAACATCCACCGGCGTACAGTCTGAGGATGGAAGAGAGATCGAACTGCTTCGGTACATATACAATCTACCTAATCTCGAACAACTCCGCGGCTCTCCCTCGAATATCATAGACGCAATCGACCAATATGGAAGAGATAAGAGCTACCTCATGAACGTCGGCTCGGCCAAAGGGTCGATCGTCACCGACTTGATAGCAGCAGTTAAGCCTCAAGTAATGGTTGAGCTGGGCGGCTATGTCGGGTATTCTGCGCTCCTTTTTGGGGATGCAGTCCGCCGCGCGGGAGGGGAGAGATACTACAGTTTGGAGCGGAGCCCTGGTTTTGGCGCAGTATCGAGAATGCTGTTGGACCTGGCTGGGCTGGGCGATTTTGTCGAGGTCGTAATTGGCCCCAGCGATATCTCCCTTTTCAAACTGCATAACAGTGGGGTGGTTAACCGCATCGATATGATGTTCCTAGACCATTATAAACCGGCATACGTGGCCGATTTGAAACTCTGCGAACAACTCGGCATGATAGTGCCTGGGAGCGTCTTGGCGGCAGACAATGTCATCTCTCCAGGGAATCCGCCATACCTTAGGTATGTGCGGAGCAGTGTTGAGGAGAAGAGAACGGCGGCAGCAGCAGCCAATCCGACATCATCGCGAGGGTATGATCTTGACGGGTTCCCTACTTCCGCGGTCAACCGCTTTGGAAACTCAAGAGGACACGCATTGGCGTCAGTTGATATCTTTGGGAACCCAGATTTGATATATGAGAGCAGGCTGGTAAATAGCTTTGAGCCTACCGGAGAACCTGTAAGTTCTCATCCGACTTGATCAAAATTCCCGTGTTCGCCCTCTTTTGCCCCCGCTTTTCGTGACTGAGCCGATGAGCGCGATGCTGACGATAGCCTATTTTGTAGGATGGAGTGGAAATAACTCGATGCATTGGCATTGACAAGAATTCCAGCAGCAAACTATAAGATAGTAGGATAGTTAGCGGCGGTCAAAGCCGTAGTTACGATCTCAACCTTTTGGGTGGACTTTGACGTTGGTATAGGGGACAGCACCAAAATATGATTGGCTAGTTAGTAACGTGCCACCCAACGCCCGCTTACACCCAACGCCGGCCATTTCACCATCACTATGATGAAATATTTTCAATGATATCTCAACAATGCAATTAGATTTTAAGATGATATATTATATGATGAAAATATATATAGAAAATTATACATAAAAATATATAGCTAATTCTGTAGTTGTTTATTTAACTTAATAATTTACTCAGAATATGAAATCTTGAGTGAAGATAGATTTAATAAGTAAACAGTTATTAAATTAGTAAAGATTGTAATATTATCAGATTTCTCTGATAATAAATCTATAAGTACTCTGACAGAGCTCTAAAAACATGATTTAAGTACTTTTTATAAAATCAAGAATCTATTTTTTTAATTAGAAAGATACTTTTTGAATTCTTCAATTTTTTTTTCTTATTTAACTATAATTATTATTATACAGCAGTTTATTCTTTCTTCTCTTTTTACTCTCAAGTCTTTCTTATATTTGTATGCTTGTTTTCAATCTGCTTTTAAGTGAGTGACTCTTATAGTTTTATGCCCCGGTGGCTGAATGATTAATGCGGCCACTCAGTAGCACCTTGGCGTGGGAAACCAAGACATGTGAGTTTGAAACCCGCAGGGAATACATTAAATCTGGAACTCAAGCACCTCAGATTTCTAATAAATACAGAGATGTATAAATCACTTCAATGAATCACTCTATGTTTCTGAGCTGAGAAGTTAGTATTATATGTATTTAATTATCATTTCTTTGTATTTTTCTATGTTCTTATTATCTTGATATAATCTTAACATCTGTATTTTCTTCTGTATAATTAACACTTGATCTGTATTTAATATTATACAAGAACTTATTATAAGCTTCACTTACATATAAGTATAATGAAAGAATAATAATAATAATAATAATAATCTTATAGTTTTATTTATATCTTTTTACTATTTTACTATTTAATAAGTTATCTTCTATTTTATTCTCTTCTTTATAATATCTGTCTTCTTCTATTTTTTAAAAATAGTGTATTATAATGTGATATTCTTTTTATAAGTCTGCTTATTTTTTTAACAGCTTCAGAAATTAGTATTTTCTTATATATAATCTGTATTTTTACTAGTAAAAAGAACTATATTAATGATAAATTTAAAAAATTTAATAATTTCATTACTCTATAATTTAAAAGAATGTATAATCACTGAATAATAATATAATCATCTCTAAACATACTTATAAATGTAAAAGAAGCTCTAGCAGTTACTAATTTAGTATAATGTATATAAGAAGCTGATATATATCTGTAATTATACACTGACTTAAGTAATCTTTGAATCACATCTGATAGCATGTTTAAAAACTAGTGAGAAGTGCAGGCTTCTTCAGAATATGATAATTTCATCTATAAAGTAATTTATAGTTATCATGTCAGTGTGGTTTAAAAATATCTTAAAAAGATAGTGTATAAAGAAGTAATAATGTAAGAAATTCCGCTCCTTGCGGATTCTTTACCTCTATTTCTATCTCTCATGTAATCAATAGAGCTAGCGGCTCTTGACTACACACAACTATATAGACTGGAGTTCATGAATACTATTTATAACTCAGCTTGAATGCTATTATATATTTGATTTCTACATTTTATCTTTCTACTGTGAATATTTCTAGTAGTTAACAGTATATATCACATCAAGCTGCAAATATCTGAATAATCATCTGTGAGTACTTATTCTTACATTTCAAGCTCAGTCAGTCAGTAACTGTCTATTATAACTGAAAGAACTAGAAACTTATATACTCTCATCTCTGCAAACTCTACTGCAAATACTCAGAAGCAGTTATCTGAATCATGAATAACTTCTGTAAAAGAAGTCTCAGAGAACTTATCAATTATTTACAGAATATCATTTTCTGCATCTGTGACAGAGAAATTCTCTGAATCTATGAATAAATCAATCTCAGTGAAGAATATTCTTGAGCATCTTTCACAGAATCAAGCTATTTTTCTATAAGAAATACTTACTGCTTACAAACATTTTCAAACTGAGTCTCTAGACATAATCTTCAGAGATACTTATAAACTGAAAAGAAACTTTCTTAAGCTGTAATTACTTAAGATCATCTATTGAATCACAATCTATAAAAGCTTTTACAAGTTTGTATTTGAAATTAACTCACAAGCTCAGCTGTGTGATATGAAAGATGAAGAAGCTGTCATCTATATAATGACAGACCTCTATTACACTAAAGTCAAGAACTGGCTGAATTATCTAGAGAATGATTATAAGAGATCTCACTAATCTGTTCTCAAGATCTATCTAGAGAATAAGTTGAGAGACTCTGTAAGCTGAACAGAGAACACCTGAGCTGTGATCATCAATATTAAAAAAAGAGGTGAGAAATCTGATAAAGACTACTCACAGTGCTTCATGAAATTATAATATGAATTGAGATCTGTGAAAACAGAGCCCTGAAACAAGACCTGAATAATAATATTTATAAAGAGACTGAATAAAGACATGCAGAATAAGCTCATTGAGTAAGACTCTAAGTTCTTAATTCTGAAGAAACTGATAACTCTTATTCATTACTTACAGATCACTGTGAGAGTCACAGATCTGTGAAGAGCAGATCATCAACTGACTCTGTGAGAGTCAGAATAACAGAGAACAGGTTTATCAGAAAAAGATGATAAGATACAGAGAGATTCATATCTGACTGCTGAGTAGAGAGAGAGAGCTTCATAAGCTTCTATGAACAGAGTGTATAATAGAGAGATTAAGAAAAAGAGACTCTGTTTTATCTATTCTAAATCAGAACATCTCTGCACAAACTGTCTGAATAAATTAAAATAGAAATTTGAGAAGTCACAGACAGAGTCAGTAACAGTCTTCTTAAGAGCTCTAAAGCTGATACCTGAATCTGTTACTTCTCTGATGAAAATGCTTACTTATAAGAAGAGATTATACTGTGATACTACTGCTCTGCAAGTATGAAAAGTATTGATGAACTCAGAATCTCAGATCACTGTAATGTCTCTAAAGCTTACAGAGTAAATGAGCTGAAAGATGAAGACTGAGAACCTGCTCTTATAACAAGCAGAGTGTGAGAACTCAGATCTGAGAACTGAGAGACTTACAAGAGTCATCTTTGAATTGCAAGATCTCTCTGAAATCTGAAGAAGATTTATAGAAACTGTGATTATCACAGATATTACAGATAATATATATTTGAGACTTGTATAACTTCAAAGACACAATCTGTACATAGCTGTTTATGAGTTAGGTTTATACTTCTGATCAGTGTTGACAGACTCACTCACAGAGATAGAATCAGTTAATACTGTAGAGTTAATTAGAGAAGACAAGCTCATCTATATAATAACTTTGCAAGTGTCTGAGAATCTCATAATCATAAAAACTGAGCTTCAGATATCAGAGAAATACTGAGATCTTACAGAGATGTTCAGCTCAGTAAAAGCAGCTGAGCTTTCTTCTCACTGTAAGAAGAATCTGATAATAGATTTAATAGAAGAGTAGAAACTCTTCTGAGAATCAATCTATAAGCTCTCTTATTACAAGACAGAGATCTTGCAGATCTATGTAAAGAAGAATTTGAAGAATGACTTTATTCAATCTTCACAGGCCTCTGTGAGAGCCTCTGTGATGTTTGTAAAGAAGAAGAATGAAGATCTCAGATTATGTGTAGATTATTATAATCTGAACTTCAAGATAACAAAGAGCTGCTACTCTCTGTCTCTGATTGAGAATGTGATCAACTGTCTCACAGAAGCTGTCATATTCATATAACTGAATATAATCAATGTATATGCATAACTGTGAATACAGTCTGAGAATGAATGAAAGACTGTCTTTAGAACTGCACTGAGATTATTTGAATATCTAGTGATGTCTTTTAATCTGACTAATATCTCTACAGCATTTCAGTCTTTCATTAATAAAACACTTTATATATATCTGAATATCTTTGTAATAATATATCTGAATAATGTGATGATGTACTCTGTGAAGAAGAAAGAACACACTGAGCATATGCAAAGTGTGTTGAAGGTCTTAGATAAGACAGAACTGTATATTAAGCTCATGAAGTGCAACTTCAGTATCTACTGAATTAATTTTCTAGAATATGAAATCATTATAAATGATATTCAGATGAAATCTTTGTGAATTGAGACTATTCTATCATAACTGAAGTTAACTAGTATTCATGAGATTCAGATCTTTCTGAGCTTTGTGAATTTCTATAGATAGTTTATCTTTGTATTCACAAGAATCTTTTTAATTCTTACAGACATACTGAAGAGTGAAAATAAGAAGAAGTCACTCTGTAAATAGAGAATGAAAAGATTATTAAGAAGAAAGAACTGTAAGGACTTTCTTATCTCAGAAGCTTATGAGATCTTTATAAGATTGAAATAGATATTCATAGATACAGTAATACTGTTTTACTTTGATTTCTTACTCTTAATCAGATTGAAGACAGATATCTTCTTCTTTGTGATTTCAGAAATAGTCTTATAACTATAGTTAAATGAGAACTGAGTTTCAGTGGTCTTTTTCTCACAGAAGATACAACTCACAGAGATCAACTATAGCATTTATAATCAGAAGCTTCTTATAATAGTGAAATTCTTCTATCACTAGTGTCACTACTTTAAGAATCTTGTAACAGTGATTACTGTTAGAACTGATCATAATAGCTTATAACAGTTTACTTCAATTAAGAAACTCTCACAGCAGTAGATTCACTGAGCTCAGAGACTGAGTGAGTTCTGATTCAAGATAGAATATATCAAGAAAACTAAGAACTCAGCAGATAGACTCTCTCACAGATCAGACTATGTTAAGAAGATCAGAGCAACAGACACAGAGAGACTAGAGAAGAC